TGAAGAACAACAGAAGAGAGGGAGATAGGGATATCAGGGGAAGAGGGTGTTGCTGTGGCCCACTCTCTGTCTAATCTCTTTACAGCAAATTGGTAAGATTTTCAGTTTTACTTCTTTCTACTATTTCTGCTGTCTACTTCCTTATATTTTTGTTCTCAACAGTTCAAAAAAAGGTCTATTTTTTTTTTCTCCTATACTGGGGCTACATTTTTTGATTGTAAAAATATTTGATGGCCTTTTGATGAATGTCTTCCACAGTAAATAAGAAAACTTAGTGGCTTAATCTAGGAAACATGTTAACAGGACACTATGTTTTTGAAATTGTAACAAAATCAACGTAAATGATTTACAGGTCAAAGAATAAAAATAAAGGTAACTTTACCTTTCTTAAATATTTCCTGCCTTAAAGAGAGCATTTCCATGACTTTAGCTGGTAAAAAGGTTTAATATCTGCAGAGCTTTATAAAAATATATTTCAGTGCATACTGGTATAATAGATGATCATGCAGTTGCAGTTGAGTTTTATCACCTTTTTGTTTGTCTTTTATAATGTCTTCAGTCTGAGTGTGCAAAGTCAATTTGTAATATTTTGCAACCCTAGGATTTTTTTAAATAGATGCTGCTTGCTATGTTTTCAAACCTTTTTGAGCCATAGGATCCAAGCCATAAAATTCTTTATGCATGTTGAATTCAGTCAGAAAAGAGCAAGGCTTTGCTTTTTTAAATTGCAACTCAAATGAGATGGGATGAAATCCTATGACACTAAGCAAAAACAGAAGAAAAATGATTGGAAATATACTGTTTCAATTGTGGCAATAATTGAAAAAATCGATAAAAGTTCATCTTTGGACAAAAAGCTTTTTTAAAAAAAATTACTCCCTCTTTCCCGCTCCTCCCTTATTGCAGCAGCCTACTGAGAACTTTATGACTGTAGCTGGTAAATTAGAAGCTACAATAATAATTAAGGGCAGAAATTAAAGTGCAGATCCTTTTTCTCTGACAATTTGTGATGTCTGAAAAAACAGAACCCAAAAAGCTATGGTGATATGCACAGGCATTATTTCAGACTGTAAGTGGCTTGTGATACTCTGATACTTGTTTTCAAATATGTTTACTAACTGTAGTGTTGACTGCCTGACCAAATTCCAGTGAAACTTATACACCAAAATATTCCTCCTTGGTTCTATTTGCTAATAATATGCACACTGTGATTGGCTGGCTACAACCACCCCAGTTAAACCGTTTTCATAATTAGTACTGCCAGCAATAGTGGCAAACACTGCAACTTTTCTGCATAAAAAAGCATTAATTGCACAGCTACCATCCACACAAATACATAGTTTTTCTGACTTCACATTTATTAAGTAAAATTTATTTCCCGTTCTGTGGAAAATTTATTGAGAACTTGTTTCATAAATGGATATCCCTACTATGACTGTGAAAACATGTCAAGTGTCACATTAGTGTCACAGACAGAAAGCACACACCTATGCAATATGGCTTATCTATATTTATTTGTAAAAATCCAAGCATAGTTTAAAATATGTCGATATTACTAGTCTTGAGTTTCTAAGAGGGTTCTTTATGATTATACCAGGTAAGTGTATAAAAGAGATTAAGTGCTTTTTTTTCATCACTTATTTTCTTTAAAATCGCTATTACAGGATATTTTTTTATTTTATACATGCTGTTTTTTAATTAAAATATCACTGAATTGAAGTTTACTAATTTGATTTTATAAGGTTTGTAGCATTACAGAATAACTAAACTGGGATTTATAAACCAGCTGTGATTAACAATGTAAAAGTATTATTGAACTTGAACCAGATTTTTAGGAAAATTAGTTTTTTTCCCCCTATTATGGTCTTAACTAATTTGAATCCTTCAAGAAGGATTTTTCCATACTATTTTTTGAGATAGAAGATAATTTGAGGGGAGGGGTGAAGGATGCATGTATGATACTCCATAAATTCAACATTCTTTACTATAGGTAATAAATGATTATAAACAAGATGCATCTTAGATAGTATTAATATACTGAGCCTTGGATTATATATTTAATATAGGACCTATTTTCAATATTCAGTTAATCATAGGGTTCCTAGCTTACAAGGGCTAGATCTAAGATTTATTCCCATGAGAAATGTTGAATTTATGAAGAACAGATTTTGAGGCTTTGAAAATGGTTAATTTCTCAAAAACATCAATGTCCAAACATCTACCTTTTTTCTTAGGAGTAGACACTAGCAAGCTGGACAAACTGTCATAAAAATATTTGTCACACATAACCTGTGGTCTGTTGCTGATTAATACAGTACTTTTTCTTGTGTGATTCTTAACATTATAGCACAAGTATTATCTCAGTGGATTATCTGGAATAACATCTGAAAGATGGGTTCATCTATGTTTGTGTTTGCTCTTTAAACTATTGTTTTTCCTCTCCCAAGTTGGCTTTGCATCTATCAGTAAATAAAATTCTTCAGCTGCCTTATTAGGAGTGCTATGAGGGTAACACCTTTTCTGCTTTTCATCTTGTATTTAGTTTACTGTATTATTTGATTTCGGATTGAATGAATGTAAATAGAAATTAAATGCAAATTTGAATGAACATAAAATAGAAGTGATTTATTTTTTATTATCCTAAGATAGGAAGAAATAAATTAGTATACATATCAGGTATATAAATGGTTTAAATAATTTTTTTAATTAACATGTCAGATGTGTTCAAGTTGTCATAGTTAATAAACTGTAAGGAATGGGTTAAAAGCTGTTCTGCTGAGAAATGGAAGCTATTTAAGTATGTAACAAGTTTTAGTATTGATTTTTATGTTAGATGTTATACATTGTTGATTTTCAAGTTATATCAGATAGTAGACATGAATTATTTACTTAAAAAAATGCATGTAACAACCTACGTGAAAACTAGCTTCATAAAAAACTCTAGGAAGGCCTTGTGCTAACAATCAACAATTTGTTCAGCCACACTTGGTCAGCTACATTTGATAATTTGATGTGTATGCACTAAATAATGTAGTGAACAAATCTGTTTTAACTAATGTCTCAGTATATCCAGTGTAATCTGGGTAATTTCTATGAACCACTTCTTTTTTTTTTTTTTTTTTTTTTT